CGCACACTCGAGCACAAGAAGTCTCGCTCGAGCGAAGAAACAATTTCACAAGGCTCGCTCGAACGAAGCACTCCACCTTCCCAGAAAAGCTGCATTTGGGAAAAGACCTGAGGACTCTTAATTCTCGCTCGAGCGTAAGAACCCTCGCTCGAACGACGAAGTAGATTACACATGGCTCGCTTGAGCGCAAGAAGCCTCGCTTGAGCGAAGAAGCCAAAATCTGGGCAACAACATTCTAGAGCAACTAACAACCAACATGTTCCAAACATGCCCAACATAATCCAAAACTCAAATACAAAGAGTAAAAAGATTGTAACAAGACAATGATACATTATTCAACCATGGAACCCAAGTCCGGGACACAAAGAAGCTCGGGGCAAAATCGGGATCGCCATAAGAGAAGAAGATGTTAATGATGTTATCCATGATAATAGAATTTTCCAAGGTATATTGATGTTTTGGAAAAAAAAGTTTTATAATTATTTTCCTTGAAGAAGTGCAAGCATAAAGTAATGTTAAAATTATTTATTTTTGTTAGCACATTTAATTAAGAGGTTATTTGAGGTGTTTTAAATAAGTGCACTTTTTAACTTTTTGGACTAAAAAGTTGAGGAAAAAAAGATGGTTGTTTGAGATAACTTTTTGACTTTTTACGAAAAAATGTGTATTAAAAAATTGTATAAATTAGTGTATAGGAGAAGTTTGTGCATAGTAGGCAGTACGGTAGGCAGAGTAATGTATAGGAGAAGCTTACCTCATTTTTGGGTACTGAATTGGACAGTACTGTTCGGCCCATGGGAGCCCACTATGGGTCCCGTTTTGCTAATCAGAATCGTTTAATGTGTAGAACTCGTTGAATACTATATACTTATAAAAAATCACGTTAATCGGATATCGATAGCTATCTGATCGGATTAGATTTTTGTCAACCGTTAACTATAACACCATCCATTCTTTATACAAAACTGATTTGATCATGTAGTTAGCGATATCTGATCAAAGTGATTTTTTACAAGCATATATTACTTGACGAGTTCTATACATTGAATGGTTCAGATTATCAAAACGCGACCTATGATGGGCTGTCACGACCCAAACCCGGCCCTATGGGTTTAGCACCGTAACCGGCCAGTAATCCGAGATTACCATAGGCCTGCAGAACAGTAGTACAGTAAAACAGAGTACAGGGCCTGGCGGAAGCCAATACAGTAAATGAATAATGTTCATTGAGCTGTGTCAGTCTGTATGCCAAAAAGATTTTTCATGCATTCACATATACAAACAGTACAGTCTATACAAAATTTACAGTCATACAGTACAGGGACCTAATCCCTTGATAACAGTACAGTAAACATTCAGTCTATACAGAACAGTAGACGGTACAGAAGGGGAATTGTAAAACACCCCTAAGCCTTAACACGATAGGCTCGGAACCTCGCAGTGAGGCACATAGGCTGGCTTGACAAAACTGGAGTCTAACCCACGCTCCTAGCTCCGGTCTGGTGGCTGAGCACCTACATATATATATAAACAGTGAGCTAAAGCCCAGCGAATAACATAATGCGTAAAGAGGTTATGAATGAAATGTCCTTACAGTAATGAAATCAGTTCATTAAACAATACTTCAGTCTTTCAGTCAGAACAGTTATTCAGTCATATGTGGTACATCCATTAGCATAGCAGTAAACAGTAGGTCTTAAAGACCGAACAGTAATGATGGCCATCAGTCAGTAAACAGTAGTGGTTCCACGAGGGAACCGACAGAGATCTCTGTAACAGTAACAGTAACAGTAACAGTAGATGCCAAGGATGCCACAGTACAGTTTAGAATATAGGACATACATTCATTCAGTAAACAATAGCAGTTTAGTAAACAGTTCAGTTCAGTATTCAGAAGATAATCATTTGAACATATCTTTACACGATTGTTACTCACAGAGTTCGGGTTACAGTAAGCTAGAGCGTGTCTCCCCAGTCGCCAACCCTACACAGTTAACAGATTGAACACACTAAGCTACGCAGTTGGGAAAAATAACAACTTGATCCCTAATGCCTCGGTGCGTTCTACCTCTATATCCTCAATAAGATGTCTTAAACTAGGCCTAAGAATGCCTAGGATGGGATGAGGATGCAAGGAGGCACACTTAAAAGATTTTGCAGAAAAAAAGAGTCCCGCACGAGCGCAGGTTTCCCCGCTCGAGCGGTAATGCAACAAAGGTACACGCTCGACTGCGTAACTTTCCCGCTCGACAGGCGTACTGTAAAAGTACTGGATGGGTGAAATCTCCGCTCGACGCCTGCTCGAGCGTGAGACATGACTCCGCTCGAGCGCCCAATCCTCCGCTCGAGCGGACTGCAAAACAGTGCAGAGAGATGCTGGATGCTCGGATTCCACAGCTCGAGCGGAACTTCCCCGCTCGAGCGGAAGTGCGAAATCTGGAAAACCCAGATTGCACCTCCAAGCTCAAACTCACATTCAAATGCATCAAAACCAATCCTCTTTGGCCCATTTTCTGGAAAACATTTATAAAACACATAGAATAACATGGTTCAAAGCTCAATTTGAGAAATCAAAGCCCAAGGGTGTTTAATTCAAATCCAATTTCAAACCATTTTCCAAGAACATGGAGAACATGCAAACATGCATGATCTTAAATCATTTCAAAGCTTAATGCTGTTTCAAAAGAGCTCAAACCTTCAAAAACAAGATGAACTCATGGAGTATGACCAAAGGATGGACATGCATGTGAGGAAACATGGACTAAAACCTCAAAACTTCAATATATGTACATGCATGCAACAATTAAGCCACAATTCAACATCTAACCATGTTTTGGCTCTACACTCCATCAATATGACATGAACCATGCAAGAATCAACTTAAAACATGAACAAGAAGACAATGGAGCTACCTTAGGTCTTGAATTAGATGACTAGGAGCTCAATTTAGCAATCTACACTTCAATTCTCTTCAAATTCTAAGCAATATTGAGATGGACTCAACTCCTCAAGTCTCTCTCTCTCTATGGTCGGCTAAGGGTCTCACAAATAGGCTAAAGAAATGTTTGATTCAATGTATAAGGCTCAAGTGTGTGTGTGAGATAGTGGTCCACTAGGGGTAGTTCGGTAAATAAGGCCAACTCTGCAATTGATCAATATTTAATCTAATTTAATCATACCTAATCAGTTTTCAGATAATTATACCATAAAATCATATTAAATATGACGATCATAATACACTAACCCATTTCCGGTTCGGCCGCCGATAAGGCCTTCAATTAATAGTTTAAACATAAAACACGAACAGATCAAACAAACAGTCAACAGATAAAATGCAATTCAAACAGATGTATTCACTCAATTCAGTTTCAATTTCGGTCAGTCAGTTTAGTACTTTAATCAGTTCAATTCTCAGTCAGTTATCAGTCATTATCAGTTCCGTTTAACAGTAATCGGTGATTATCGGTAATCAATCAATCATTAATCAGTAAACAGTATGAGGGTTGTTACATGGGCCCCCACGGACTGAACATCACCGTCTTATTTGCTTCTCCACTTGTTCCCTTTGTACAAATTGTGGGCAACTAAAGTACAACTCACGTGACATGTGAGTTGTACTTTTTTTTGTAAAATTAATTTTTTTGGTAAATAATGATAACTTTTTAACTTTTTTAATAACTTTTTATCTTTTTGATTTTTTTGAGATATGCCAAATCAGTCCTAAGATTTGTTTGACATTCCATCTGAAAAAAAAATTAACCCAATATTATCAAAAATTTGTTAACACAATACTTGGCAAAAATAAATATTTATGGGATGAAAACATTAAAAAAAAAACTTTTATAATTAATATAAAATCTTACTTTAAGAACAAATAATGAACAATAGTGACCCAGAAAAAGAAAAAAAAATAATGTCCCAAAAAACTTCAAAGACATAGAAAAGAAAAGAAAAATAATGCCTTAAAAAGATTCGAAGAGACTAATAATGTTAATGATATTGGTATGACAATGATGAAATAAGAAGGAGGTAGCTCATCCACCTCACCTAATCTAAATCATTTAGATTTTAAAAACTTTACCAGTTAACAATTGAAAGATGACATTGGAAATTATAATTATAGAAGAAGAACATGAAACTACAATTATCTAAATAGAGAATTATTTGGTAGAGGAACACCCAATTATGCAAACTTTACCCCCTAAAAAGGAATGATTGATAAAATAATTTAAGAAACCATATATTATCAACAACAACGCCACAAAACCAGTCCACATCATTTGGGCCACTTGAGCTATCCTATTCACTCGGGCTCCCTAGCACTACTTGAAAATTACCAGCAGGAGTAGCAACTTAGCCTCCGTTTGAGAAGTGGGTTGGCTTTTTGACTTTTTTGGCTATTTTAGCCTGGGCTAAAAAGTTTGGTTTGGGAAGAGTTTTTTGATTTTTTGACTTTTTGACTTTTTTTGTAAGAGAATAATGTAATGATTATGAGTTTGATGTGATATTTTATTTTTTGTGACTAAAATAGCCTATTTTGTCTTTTATGACGAAAATAACCAAAAAAATCCCGTTTAGCTCTTGCCAAACGGAGCCTAACCAATGTAGGTGGTAATAGGGAGTACTGAATCCAAACTTCCAAACCTCATTTTCCCGCCAAATCTGCCGCCTCTCCCTATCCGACATATACGCTGCGGTCGACACATCCGACTTCACCTTCCAACTACTCTCCATTAACCACTCATTTCCGACACCTAAGCACTCATCTCGCCCCCCATTTGTCACCCATCCCACCCCCTTCTTACTCTTCGCTTATCACTTCATCATACCCTCAAAAACAAAATGACAAAACTACCCTCATCGAACTTACGTGTCAGCACGCAATTGGCTTTACAGTAACCAACTCGAATGAGATTACTCTACATACATCTCCCTCCTCCCTTCATATATATATATATATATATCTACCTTCCCTTACATTTCACCACCCATCTCTCTCTCTTCTCTCTAACAACCACCACCACAAAAACACACACTACAAACTTAGGGACACCCTTATATTCCAATACTAGAACATTCATATATATACATAATCTATACATACATATACATATTGTTGTTAGGGTGTATATATGCAACTAGAGGGAGGAGAGACAGATGGAGAGGGGGAAGTAGAGAGACACTTTTGAGATTGAGATCACCACCATGAGCCCTAGACAATTCCATGAGATGCAACTTTCAAAGAGAGAGATCATCAATGGGAATAATGGGTTGTGCTCATTTCCTCTCAAGATCAACAAGGACTCCCATTTCATCAAAAAGTCTCCACCTCCTCCGCCGCCACTCTCCTCCTCCTCCTCCTCCACCACCACCAAGCCTCAACACCGCCACCGCCACCACCCAGTGATCATCTACACCCACTCTCCCAAAATCATCCACACCCATCCACGTGACTTCATGGCATTGGTTCAAAAGCTCACTGGTCTCTCTCGCTCCGACCCCAAACCCCCTCGTCCCAAACAAAACCCCGGTGGTTGTGGTGAGAATTTGGCGGACGACATAAACAATAACCACCAGAAGTCGTCAGCAGTGGTTACCAACGACGATACTGAATCGTTGTTAGTGACCACCGATGAGAATTCAAGTAATATTGTAGTAGCAGATGTTCAGATAGATTCGTGTTTTGCGAATCGATCTATTTTTGATCATCCACCCGTTAATGGTTGCTTCAATAACATACCATTGTTTACACCAAATAACCCTAGTGATTTCCTGTGCTCAGCCTCAGCTCAGCCATTTTACAACAAGTATGCCGATTCGATGCTTTTGATGCCTAACATGAGAAGCTTTATCACATCATCTTCTTCTACGCTGGAAGGAATTAAAGAGTTTCGTGATCTTTGAAAATTGATCATTTTGAATTTTGAATAAAGATAAGTTCAGTAAAAAAAAAATTTCGGTAGTTTATTTATGGACAGTAGAATATTAACTCAGATTTAATGCAAATAAAGGTCTTTTTCTTTTCTTTTTTTTGGATGGGGGGGGGGGGTGTCCATTGTAGTTTGAAGTCTCTATAGTGACGAACACAAAAAAATGAAAACAGTGGTAATTTCCTTGATGTTTGATTTTTATTTTATTTTTGTGTACATATTGTACTTTTATTTTTGAAAATGCCATTCCTCATTTTGTACTATTTGAGCCATGTAAAATTTTATTTTCTTCAATTACAGGAAAGTAGAGAATTTATTTCATAGGTTAGCATGATGTCATTTATTATTATTATTTTTTTATTAACAGAAAAAAGCTTTATTGATGATAGAAACCTTACAAGAAATGAAAGTATTACAATAAAGGAAAGACTAGTGCAGAGGTCATCAAAGTGTAATAGTCCAATTCTAACTAGATTGGAATTGAGAAGCACACACAATCATGTGACAACAACAGACAACTGTTGATGAGCAACCAACAGCAAAGGAACAAAAAAGACAGCCATAGCAAAGACAAACTACACAGAAATGAATATTGTGTTGCAAAACACCATGAATCCTAACTAGCTCCAAGCTATTCTTGATCAATACATCTTGAATGAATGAAATTTGCGGATTGTTAGGGCCAATTTGGGAACATAGTTAAAGCCAAATTTTGGCTTTTAACATATTTTGAATCATATCACCTCTCTACTGTTTTATACGTTTTTTTAAAAAAAACCAAAACTAAAAATAAAAAATCCAGCTTCTAACCAACTTACAACCAGAACACTACATATCTAGAATTTATGCTTATATTCTTGTCCCAAGATTTGACTATGTAATCTAGATTTAATTTACACGAACTCCACACTATACCTTTTGAATCTCAACCTCTCTATTCTAGGTCACGTCTTGATATACAATTCTGGGTTGTTAAACTGTTTTTTGTTGCAAATTGTGAAAACTTAATCAGAATGGGCAAAAATAAGAAAAATCTAGAATAACAGATAAACGAAAATTGTGAATCACATGCACAAATAAGAACACAATATTATGTGATTCATCTCAAAGGTAACTAATTGCAATTTCAATAACATAAAAAGAATTACAAGTGAGATACAGGGATAATCTCATCGATCAACTATGTAAACATCTTGCGGAAAGATAAAGCATGTAAAGTTCATGCCACTAAAGACAACTTATTCCAACTAATAGAAATATGTAATTTGCAATTTTTTAATTTAATAATTTTAAAAAATCATTGAGACTTTAAACCTAAAAAATCTAACAAAGAATTTAATTGTAACAATTTTGCATCAACCGTAAATTCAAATTGGTTTAGCCTTCTTGCTTGGTGTTGAGGGTTATTGAGGATATAAATATCCGCCTCAATAGAATATAAATGTCAAATTTTTGAACACCTCTAATCCCTACCATTTATAAGAGAAGTTCTACTGATTTTTTTTTTTTTTTAAATTTATTTTCTAAAATTTTTAGATTTGTAACTTGATTTCATAGAGAAATTTTAAGAATAACAAGCCGAATGAATTTTTTGCTTATGTATAGCTTTGAAAACAAAACATATAAATATTTTGAAAAACTTAGAAATCTATATATATACTAAGCACTCTCTTCTATTTATTTAGAATAATTAGGGGAAATTAAATAAAAATATATATATAATTTACAGTTTGACTATTGTAACAAAATAAATTATGTATTTTTAATTTTATTAATTTAAACCTTAATATTTTAATTTATTTTCAATCTAAATTATTCGCTTTTTTCCGTTAACTACTTGACTAAAATATATATATTAGCCATTAAACCCAATGTAAAGTATACATAAAATGTCTAAATATAATTTTTCGTTAAGTTTAATGACTAAATTATATATTTTTTATTTATTTTATTTAACAAAAATATGCAAATGGTTTAGATTGAAAATAAGTTAAAATATTAATATTTAAATTGACAAATTTTAAAATTCATACTTTTAATTTTGTTACAATAATCAAATTCTCAAAAAAAAATTATAATTTCTTTGAATAATTATTATTTTTTGGGGATAAACATTAGACTAGGAGTTGCTAAAGATGGTAATTTGAACCCAACCCGATGGAGACCCGGTCCCTCGACCTTGATTAGAACGATTTTTCCTTAAAAATACTCCTAACGAGTCGGGGATGGTATTTGAAAATGAATCCCTGACAATTTTTAGACCGGGGTCGGTGATACGTTCCCCAGCCTCGGCCCGGTCCGTTCTCATCCCCGTCTCCGTCTCCGTCTCGGTTTCTCCAGAATTGAAATTACTATTATACCCTCTATCTATTCATATATATATATATATATATATATACATGATTCCATCACACACAAACACACTCTCTCTCACTCTTCCTCTCCAAACCCTAACCCTCGTTTTCTTTTCAAACTCTCTCTTTCTGCTCATTCTCCGTTACTCCTCCGACGTTGCTCCTCCACCGTCTTCTGTCGATGCTCCTCCGCATTTTGCATCGATGCTCCTCGTTGTTGAACTAGAGCTCTGTAGCTTTACCATCGTTGAACCAAATCGTGAGATCCGTAGCTCCGCCGTCATTGAACCAGAGTTTCGCTGCCCAGCACTGCTAATTCCGTCGACGATCTCTCATCGTCGTCATTATTTCTCACAGTGGAAAACTTCAAATCTGTTTGATGACACACAGAGATCTCATATATGTGTTGCTGATACACACTCAGATCTCATGTATGTGTGTATGTATACATGTATGTGTGTGTGTGTCTTTATCTGTCTCTATTTTTTTTTTTTTTTTGTAATTGATATATTGTATATGTGTATGTTTATGTGTAATTGTAGTTATTTTGGTTGTTGATGTTGATTTTGATGATGATGTTGTTGTTGTTGTTGTTGTTGTTGTTGTTGACGATATTGATTGTTAATTATATTGTTTAATTTTGATAATGTCTAAAGTATTATCTGCAAAAATTTAAATTTTTTTAATATACATATTATTTGACACAAAATATTATCTGTTTAAAATATATATTGTATAATACATTTGTTAAATATTATTTAAATAAAAATATTTTCTTACTATTTATTTTTTGAAAAATTAGACTGATCACTATTCATCTTTTGATAAATTTGATATTGATTGATTGTATTATTTTGATAAATTTGATATTGATGGGTTGTCTTCTTTTGACAAAAGTGATATATCTACATGGAGTGGTAGGTTATATTTAGTTTAAAATCTCTACAAAAATTTAAAAATGGTATATATGTTCAGATCTATTATAAATAATATTTAAAGAGATTTTACTATATATGTAAATATTTGATTAGAATATTATATATAATGCATATAATATAAATAGAATACATCATATGAGTAATTAATTCTTTTACATTACATTGATTATATCATATCACACTACACTACATTGATTATATCATATTATAATTAAACAAGAAGAAAAAGATGGAGTTATATATATATGTGTGTATATATATATATATATTATAAACTAGATGGAGAAAATTATTTGTTTGTTTGAAAGTTGTGAACTTTGTATTAAATGAGACTAGTGGCTTATTGTATTTGAAGCCAATAGAAAGGCTAAAATTATCCACTAGCTATGTCGCCTTGGTTAGAGCCAAGATAAGGTCTTGTTAAAGACCGACCATGGATATAAGAGTACCCACTTTCCCATGATGTGCCTGTTATGGATAGCCAGATGCGAGATCTCATTTGATGCCTGAGAGGCGAGCAAATAGAGAATTCGAGTTAGACGCTAGGAAGCGACTCGTGCGCTTAAGAGCGACTAGACTAAGATCTGTATGGTGTGTGAGTTTAACATCACTCTTTGGAAGAGTAACTCCACTATAACATGCATTCATACTGCATGTGCTTATCGACCCGTTAGCGAGGTGAAAGAATGGATCCCTGCTTCTTCACCGTGTGAGTCCTAAAAGTCATTTTTTCCTAAATGACTTTACTTTGTGCCTTTTGTGACCTTTGACTATGTCATAAGATGAGGAGATGATGTTCAGCTACTTTGGTATGTTGCCTGCGGTCATGTATGATTCGGCTTTAGGATGGTTCCATAGAAAGGTATAAGGCTCGCCTAGTGGCGAAAGGTTACACCCAACGAGAGGGTGTGGACTATGAGGAAACTTTTTCACCAGTTGTAAGGTTTGCCTCTATTCGCCTAATCCTGGCCATAGTAGCTCAGTTGGACTTAGAGCTATATCAGATGGACGTTAAAACTGCATTTCTCAATGGAGAATTGGATGAAGAGATCTATATGGATCAACCAGAAGGCTTTGTGGCAGTAGGTCAGGAGCGCAAAGTTTGCAAGCTTCAACGATCTATTTATGGAATTTATCATGCTTTGTATATGCC